CTGCGGCGTTCCTGACGGGCCTGGCCCGGGGGGCTCCGTCGGGGCCCGCCAGCCTTGCGCCTTTTTCGTTCTGTGTCCTTGGCCTCCCGCTCCTGCGACGCTGCTTTCCTTTTCTCTTGCTCCCGGGCTCGGAGCTCGGCCGGGGGCCCCGCCCGCCAGTTGGTCGCCTCCTGCAGCACCCTGGAGGCCCAGGGCCGGCGGGGCGGCGGCTCAGGGGATCCCGGGCGCGGCCTACACCTGGGACAACGAGCAGGAACCCGGGTGAGCAGTTTGTGGGGGAAGGGGCCGAGGTCCGGGGGGCCGGGAGCCCGGGAGCCCGCCCGGGGCCCCCGCGGGAAGGGGCATGTGCGCACGTGTGCACGTGCGTCCGTGTCGGGGGTGGAGTCGAAGTGGGGCTTCCGCCCGCCTCGCCGTGCGCACGCTAACGGCGCCTGCCCCATCTCACCTCTTGCCCTTTCTCACACCCACTCCTGTCCCTCGAACGAGGTCGGATGAGTCAGGCCCCAGCCCTCGAGCGGTGGGGGAGGGAGGCGCGGGAAAGCGAGGGGAACCGGCCGCGTTTGCTGGTGCCTGCAGGGCGGTCTGGCCCCGCTCCCTGCCCACCGGCTACTGCCCCTCACCCCTGCACTCACGTGCGGCTCGGGGACCCGCGGGCCCAGGGGCTGGCCTGGAGGTCCATGAGCTGTCGAGAAGGAGCGCGGCGGCTGTAACGGCAGGAAATAGTCTTCACTTCGATCACCAGCAGCTTGGACTTCTGCACCCAGAGGCAGCTGCCAGACTCCTCATCTCGGCGCTCCCGGGGGCTGTCGGGCCCCTCGGAGAAGAGCGGGCCATCCAGCATCCTGCCCCACCCCACCCGGCCCCCCACCCTCCCACCCGCCCCGGGCGCCCCCTCCTGGCTCGGGGAGCCGGCGCCCACTGCAGAGCGGCGGGCCGGGGACTGGGAACTATATATACCCCGGCACACGTGTGTGCCTCAGTGTGTGTGTGTGTGTGCGCGTGTGTGTGCGCGCGCGCACGCATGTGACACTGCGCGGACTGCTCGGCGCTGCTACCTCCCCCACGAGCACGGCCGCCCCCTGGGGCGTGGGATTGGACACCCTTTCCCATTGCTCTTGTCCCCCAAGCTTGGTGGGACCCGCGCACGAGGGGGCTGGGAGGGACCGCGGAGTCTCACCGAGCTGACAGTGTTTCCCTCCTTTGCCCCCATTTCTTCAACCTTCCTGCCGTTTTAACCCTCTACTCTCCTGCTTGTCAGCTGCGTGTCCACCAGAAACCCCTAACTCCCTGCCTCGGACTTGCTTCCCAACAGGGAGTGGTGAAAATGGAGTTCAAGGTCTTCGCCTGCCACTCTTTGCTGGTTTCCATGGGGTTGGGGTGCAGGAGGGGCTGGTTAGTGGCTGGGGGACTATTTTTAGCGGCAGTGGCATTCGGGTGCAGAGATAGCTGAGTAACCAGCTCCCAAGCCGTGGAGGAGGCGGTGGCTTTGAGGAAGCTTTTGTGAGTCTCTGGGGGAGAGCTGTTCCCCACTTTGAAAAAGAGTGACCCTCCCACCTTTAACTCCTCACCTTTACAGTACTGCAGCCCAGGGTTGATGGAGCTGGACAGAGGTCTGTATGGTCACCTAAGGTGCTTCGCCACTCTCATTCTAGATACTTGTCCTTGGGCACACGTGGAAACCCCCCCACACACACACACACAGAGCAGACTCTCTTCCCCAATCCCGCAGCCAGGATTCGGCGGTCACACTGTTCTGTGCCCACACAAGCCCTGCCCAGCCTTATGGAGGACAGAGCTGCGTGCTTATGCACTTGCACCCTTGCGGAGGAGGGTGGCGGAGTGGTGTGCTCCCTTGGCAAAACCAGTCCCCTCGCAACTGCGGATAAAAGTGGTCTCGATTCATGTCCCAGTGTAGAGTTCCCCCTCACCACCAAAATGCCTAGTTCACTTAGTCCCTGTGTGAAGTGGAGCTCACCCTTTGGGTTCATCCTGTCCTAGGGGGCTGCTGGTTACATCCACAAGATCCCTCCCCCTAAGCTATACCAGGTGTCCCCTGATTCACCATGGTAATGTTAGTGGCAGCACAGCCCACGCCAACCCTTCCATGCAGAGACTTAGCAACCATGCCTGGCAACCATGGGAGCAGCTCCAGTGGAAGGGAGGGGTACAGGGAGAGGGAACAGTATTGCAGTGGTTCCTCAGGAAGAAGGGACAGTTTGCCTCCCCTCCGAGGGAGAGGTAAAATTAGAAGCCTGCGAGCTCTCAAATTCACCCCTTATTTTTGTTTCATCCTCAGACTCTGCAACTGACTGGTTGGGAGAAATGTAGTGGAGTACTTTGGGTACAGACCTTTCCTTTAAGGGGCCAGAGTGTTGTGGGGCTGGGATAGGGCTTGCTGAGGAGCAGCACAAAACCCACGCCTGCTGCTCTCACACGGACCCTGGGAACCCAGCCATCCCAGCCCCACCCACTTCCCCCTTAATTCCATGTACCTACCGGCTGCACTGGTGGCTCTGCTTGAAGATGCCTCCGTCCACCCTGGACCCACTGCAGTCCTGCAGCTTTTTAAACCCCGGCCTCCTCCAGACAAACCCTCTTTCATGAGGGAATGTGACATGAGACATCTGTCCTTTCAACCATGTACCCACCCACACACTAATAACTTGGAAACGTCTCTCCCGCAGCTTTGGGAATGTGCTGAGCGCCATGAAGAGGTGAGCACAGAGGCAGAAGCCTCACAGGGGTGTAACGGGGAAAGCTCAGCTCTGACAAGTGCCTGGACGCTTTCCCCGTGTTCCCTCAAGAAGCCGTGTTTGCAGGAACCTCGTCTGTGTGCTGGAGTGCCGTCAGAAGGTTCAGGCACAGTGGAGGGCAGGCCAAGCTATTACTCTGAAACTGCTGCTGGCTCACTTGGGAAACCATCAGACCTGCAAGGCAGTAGTGACACAACGCCCAGAACCCAGCTCCCAGCGTGTTTGGCATGCTGTCTGCATCCACAAGGTTTCCATGCAGGGAATGGGTCTGATGGTGTGGCCATGGTTCTGCTGTTCCCCCACCCCCTACTCTCTAACTTACTCTTACCCTGGAAGAAAGGCAGTGGGCAAAGGACTACAAATTCAGATACTACCAGCCCAGCAAAATCCAGCCACAGCCCTGCCTCCCTAAGGCCAGGTGAAAACGGTGTGTGTTCTCTCTGCCTCAACAGGACCCTGCGCCTGCCCACTCTCTGGAGACCTAACACTGGTGAGGCTTTCCCGTGGCGCAGACAGAGGGGAAGTGAGAGAAAAAACTAAACTACAGGGACTAGGGTGGGGAACAGTTGAAAAAGGAGAATTAGAGAAGGAACACAGTAGTGTAGTGAAATAGCTTGAAACCTGCACCAGAGCATCTGGGATCAAATCCTAGCTTTACTTTTTACTGGCTGTGTGGCCTTGGACTAGTTTCTTGGCCTCTCTGGGCCTGTTTTTAAAAATCTGTTAAAACCATAGTAGTATCTAGTAGTGTCCTGAGGATTAAATGAATTAACATATCCCTAATCAAAAAATGTGAAATCTGGCCAGGTGTGGTGGCACATTGCCTGTGATACCTGCTATTCCAAAGGCTGAGGCAGGAGAATTGAAACTTTGAAGTCAGCCTGGGCAACTCTGTGAAAGTTTGTCTCAAAATAAATTAAGAAAAGGGGGTTGGGAATGTAGCTCCATGGTAAAAGTGCAGGCACAAGGCTCCAGTACTGAAAAGAAAAGTACTGAAATTTGACATGTTCTAATATTTGAAACACTTATGGTTCCGGACATTTTCCATAAAGGATATTCAACCTGTACTAGTAAAGCACTAAGAATGCTATCTGGCACCTCATTGTGTGTGTGTGTGTGTGTGTGTGTGTGTGTGTGTGTATGAATGATGTGTTGAAGACGCCACATGAAGTAGAAAGGCTGAAGAAACCGTGTCCATCAGCTGTGTCCATCAAAATCAAATACTATAATACCACAAGGAAACTGCTGTCATTTAATTAGATTTGCCATGAAAATAGCTTGGCTCACCACTCTGCGCTCCTCCCCCACCTAACCATCCCCCTCATATGCACACAGCTCAGGAACCCCGAGGCCGTCCTCCCCACTCCAATGAGGGCAAGAAATGTCACTAAGTGGACTCAGCCTCCTCCAACTGCATGACAGGAACACTAAAAATGTCTTTATGACCCATTTGCTGTGCTGTTGTCTCAGGGCAGAGACACAAGCAGAGGCAGGGTGAGGTCTAGGGATCTCTTGGAGATCAGAATTTGCCTGCGGAGCACAGCGCCCTGTTTCACCCAAAAAGGGGCCATGCCTCAGAGGACGGGGCTAGGACTGGCAAGGCTGAAGGTTCTTAAGTATGTGTGTGAGGGTGGGGCAGCCACTCCTCCTCTTTTCCCTCCTGTCTCCCATCTTCTGGAGAGAGGGTAGGGGGTCCTGTGCGGGGCAAGTGTCGGCTGAATGCTCCCAAGGTTTCCTCGGCTTCCCAGAGCTTCCAGCAGGTGGACAGTGGGGCCTGTCTGCACTCCACCTCGCCCCAGCGCCCTGCTCAGGGCTTCTTCTCTCCCCCCGTGAGCACCAGGGCCTGCAGGATGTCGGACAGTGACACAATCCCCTTGACCACATCTTTCTCATCCACCACTACAAGCCGGTGAACCTGGCACAGAGCGACAAGGAGAAGGGGTGTTCAGTGCCGGCCTCGGTGAGTGAGCCCGCAGCCCCTGCCTCTCTCAGGCCCACCCCAGCTCCTCAAGGCTGGTCCCCACCTCTGCCTCCACCAGCCTGTTAATTATGGTCTCCAGAGTCTCGTGAAGGTAGCACTTGAGAACACCCTCAAAGTAGTGTGATCGATGCTGCAGGGCTTTGGTCACAGATACGTCTAGGTTGTTGTAGGTCTTTTCTGCTGCCAAATTCTGGGGAGAGGGGAAGGGCTTGCAAGGAAGCAAGGGAGCCAGGCCCCAAGCTCCCCAGGACCCACCCAACCTCACCAGAAAGATCTAGGGCAATTGTCAGCCATGCCCACAAGCCATAACCAGCTCCTTCAATTCCTTTTTAAATAGGACTTGAAAGCTTGGAACTTCCCAAGACCCTTAGGTTACAGAAGAGACTCCTCCCTCTCCACATTCAACACCCACTGCCCATCCCTACTTCCCAGCCCATCCACATCACTCACGATAACATCAAACTTGGAGTAGATGTCCACCACGCGCCCTAGGGGGACAGAGGCCGCTCAGCAAGTAGGATCTGGCCTCTGAGGCTCCCCCTACCCACACAATTGCCCTCCTGGCTGAGCTGAGGGGAAAGCAGATTTTCTCAGAGTAACCCGATCCCTGGAATCCTCCCTCTCTCCTTTCTAATCTCTCACCTTTATCATCCACCACTGGCAGCGCTGAGACTCGGTGCTGTACAAAGATGCCCAGAGCCACATAGACAGGGGTGGTAGTGCGGACCATAGCAATATTGGCATAGGTGCCAATCTGTAGCTCTTCCAGAGATTTAGCCATGAACTCTGGCTTGGGGAACTCGGTAATCTGAGAAAAGAACCATTAGCTTAGCTTTTAAGGCTCCCAAACCATCCTTGAAGAACTTTCCAACCTACTATGTCAGAAACAAGACTGGGTTGAAGATAACTTACAAACAATTTGAGGAACTTGAGGATACGCTTGTGAGTAAGGATGTACAAGGTGTTCCCCGATTCTGGGTCAATAACTGGCAGCCTGTGGATCTTGTTTCGAATTAACGAAGAGACAGCATCAAACAAGCTGTGAGAAGGTGGAGGACAAAAGGTAAGTTCCACAGTGTCAGTAAGGACAGTTCCTTAAAGTGTGTTCAGAAAACTGATGCTGAAAGAGGGGGCAGTGTTCAGAAAAGATTTAAACAGCAAGCGAGTGAGTGTTGGGAGGAGTATCTTTTCTCCCTTCTGCCCCTTTCCTTGGGTGTTTGGGGCTTTAGTGGTGCTGACGAGGCTGTTCCTTCTTTTGGGTAAGTTAACTCACCTGGCATTAGGAGAAATGCAGACAAGTGGCTTAAAGGAGTCCTGTAGGTACACCTCTGAAGGGAAAACAGGCAGTTCATGCAACACTGCTGTGGAAAGGCATTTCCCAAGAAGCCCTCCATCCCTTCATCACTGCACCACCCCAAATTCTCTACATACCTCTCCAAGTTTCTATTTTGTGTTCTTCTAGCTCGTAGATCTGTACCTAGAAGAAGTAGCAACAGAATCTGAGACCTGATCTCCTTGCTTGGTTTATCCTTGTGACTTGTCTGGAGGAAAATAAATGGGAATGGGGGCCTTTGGCAGGGAACGTAGTTTTGATCTTTGGGCTAAGGCTCCTTACCAAGGCTGACTTATAGTAACGGTGTAGAATATTGATGAAATCGGTGATGGTCAGCATGCCTAGAGGCCAAGACAAGAGCCCTCAGCACTCCCCAAAGCTCCTCTCCCTGCCCAGCACAAGATGCCAATAATACTGTGATCCAGAAATTTTTGCTTACCCACAAAACTTTGCTTCTTACTATCCCACAAAGGGGCAGCACGTACACCATTCGTTACCAAAGCAAAGAAAGCTTTCTTCACCTGTAGCAAAGAAAGTCAATCATAAAGGGAAATTCACAGGGGCAGGAATATAAGAAAAAGGGATTGGTATGCTGCTGAAAATGTGAGACTAACCCCATAAAAGGATGAAGCTGCTATCCCTGGGATGAGATGGGATGAGAGGTACTGAACCAGAGACTCCTAGGAAGTGGGAAGGGACAAGAAGATTCTACTCACCTGTAGGGAAGTATCAAATACAACCAATTTGGAGCTGGTAGGAATCAGGTCATAGCAGCGATGGGACTTCATGAAGGAAGTATACACACTATTGTTGGAGTCTGGGGTCTCTGCATGGGGTGGGATAGTTAGTAGCTTTGCTCCATGGAACAACTTCCAGTCAAAAAAGAAAAAAAGTGTTCTACTTTCACAAAGATTTAAAACATGGTTTCTAGTAAGGCCCCCTATTCTGTTTTGTTCCAACTGTTCTCACAAAACCTGGACAAACCCCTTCAAAACTATTTCATCTAATGCCTGCCTCCAGCTAAGACTGTATTTATTGGTACCTCAGGTAAAAGAAGGCTGATTAAAACAGAAAGTCTAAAACATCTCTCATTAACCAGCTCCAGTCTACAAATTCCATTCTATCTTTAGTTCATATTTTTCCTTCCACCTATTTAGCATGTTGTTTTCACCTGTCTTTCTCAATGAAGATGAGATACCAAGTGAGCCTTTTTTTTGAGACAGGGTCTCAGTTCAGGTTGCCCTTGAGCTCACTTTGTAGTCCAGGCTGGTCTTAAACTCCCAACGATCGTCCTGCCTCAGCCTCCCGAGTGCTGGAATTACATGCATGTGCCACCATGTCCAGCTCCAAGTGAGCTTCTTAAGCCTCTCCCAAGACCCACAGGTGGGAAAGTCATGATAGGAGCTGGGCCATTTCTTGAACATTAATTGGAGCCCAGTAATCATCCTGGCTCAAAGCACCCTGAGGGTCCATTCTGGGGTCACACGGTGAATAAGGGTTCATTCTACCTACTCTAAACAAACTGGAGAGCCTGGCTAGCTTTTCTCCATTCCTGTGATTTTTTTTTTTTTCTTTTTCATACTGTGCATTGAACCCAAGGCCTCACAAATACTAGGCAAGCACTCTTCCCCTAAGCTACATCCCTGGCCCTTTTTATTTATTTTTTATTTTGAGACAGGGTCTTGCTAAGTTGTCCAGGATGGCCTCCAACTTGCAAGCCTCCCCAGTAGCTGGGATTATAGATGTGTGCCACCATGCCTAGCCATTCCTGTTATTGACTGACTGATTATATATATCTCCAAGAATTGAACTCAGGACCTCATGCTTGCCAGGCAGATGCTGTACTGCTGAGCTATATCTCCAGCCCTCCCGTGTTTTTAATTGTTTGCACTAAACTGGAAAAGCAACCTCCCCCAAAAAACAGCCTCAATGTGCTACGTGTACTTAAAAATATTACATTATTTAATTCTTTCTTTTTATTTATTTATTTTTTTGTCTTTTTGAGACAAGGTCTCCCTATGCAGTTCAGGTTGACCTTGAGCTCACTTTGTAGCCCAGGCTGGTCTCGAACTCGCAACCATCCTCCTGCTGCAACCTCCTGAGTGCTGGGATTACAGGCATGTTCCACCACGCCCGGCTCTATTTTTTTTTTGGTTTTTCTCCCGTACCGGGAACCAAACTCATGACCTTGCACTTGCCAGGCAGGCGCTTTTGCCGCTGAGCTAAATCCCCAGCCCCCTATTTTTTGTTTTTTTGAAACATAGTCTTGCTACGTAGATCAGGCTGACCTTGAATTCACTATGTAACCTAGGCTGGCCCTGAGCTCTCAGCAATCCTCCTGCCTCAGCCTCCCAAGTGCTGGGATTACAGGCATGTGCCATCATGCATGGCTTCAAATTCTTATCATACATCTGTACAATAAGTATTGTCCTGCTGTTTCCAATAAGAAACATTTGTACAGCAGTTAAATAAACTGCTCAAGGTCACACCATTAGTAAGTGGCAAGAATGCCTCAAAGCCATCTCGCTGTTCTATCCAACCCCAGAGATGAGCACACTGACTTCTTCTAGCTGATTATTTTGGTATTTATACTGCATATTTGGTAGTTACACTGCATGCCTGCCTTGCTCCTTCCTATTTTCTTCATTTTTGATCAATATCTATTTTCCTAAAGGAGACGGGAATTTTTAGTGCTTTTTCCTACCAGAATCCCATCACAACCATCCACTTCTCACCCTCCTCACCCCCATTCTTCCAGCAGTTAAACACTGATACTGGTTACACCAATACTTGTACCATTTTGGCTAAATACTGATTATCAAAGCCAACCCAAACAGTAAACTCAGATTTTTTTCCTTTTTTTGCAACTTTTTTTCCTGGAGTGAACAATGGTCTTTCCCTCTCATTTGCTTAGGTTTCTATGTACAATACTTCCAACTAATTCAACTCGCAGGCTTTTCACCAACTGTTTAACATATGCCTGCCAGCTGGACTCACCAGTGGTACATGCAGGACTGTCTGGTCAGGTAGTGTGGCACAGTCCTATCAGGTGCTACAAGCCCCCCGACATAAATGTGTTAAGTCTCCCAAGCAGTGGAGAGGCAATAGATACCACCGTATCAATTTATTTATTTATTTGTCTTTTTGAGACAGGGTCTCGCTATGCAGTTCAGGCTGGCCTTGAGCTCACTCTATAGCCCAGGCTGGTCTTGAACTCGCAACGATCCTCCTGCCTCAGCCTCCCGAGTGCTGGGATTACAGGTGTGCGACACCACGCCTGGCCCTTACCCTATCAATTTAAACCACCAGAGACATCTCTCAGGGGCCTCCTGACCTGCTCCCATCTGGGCTGGATGCCTGGTATGCACGGCTGCTGTTCTGGGCTCCTCCCCACCACCATCAGGGGGTGCCTCACACCTCTCTGCACTCCTGTCTTCTGTAGCCCATGTTTTCATCTTTTCTGGTTATCCCCTTGTCCTGGTGGACCACATCTCCCAGTAGCTTCCTGAGAAAGGGTGCATGGGAAGTAAATGTTTGGAGACTTTGAAGTCTGTAGATATCTTTATTCTACCCTCATCCTTCCTTGATTTAGAATTTGACTGGATAAAGAATTCTACACTGGGGGCTGGGGATATAGCTCAGTGGCATAAGTACTTGCCTGGCAAGCCTGAGGTCATGAGTTTGATTCCTGGTAAAAAAAAAAAAAAAAAAAAAAATTCTACATTGGAGTTTATTTTCCTGCAGAATGCTAAAGGCCATTGCTTCACTGTCTGTTAGCTGCTGGTATTGCTGAGAGTCCCAAGCAGTTTGGATTCTTTTTGACTTTTTTTTTCCTGTCTGGAAACTCACAGGATCTTTTGTTTTTTGTGTGCTGAAATCTCACGATGCTTTAGGCGAGTCAGATGCACCCACTGTACTGAGTATTCAGTGGGTTCTTTCAATATGAAAACTGTCTTTTAGTTTCATGAAATATTATTAAAATTTTGCCTTGGTTATTTCCTTCTCTATATTGACATTTTTCTTTTTCTGTAACCCCTATTATTTAGATACTAGACTTCCGGGACTCACCTTTTCATGTTTGCTGTTTTGTGTTTTTGTTTTTTTGTGTGGTGGTACTAGAGATTCAACCCAGGGCTGTCACACTGAGCTACATCCTCAGCCCCTTTTATTTTGAGACAGGGTCTCACTAAGTTGTTAGGTAGCTTACGCTGTGCTCAAATTTGTGTCTTCCTACCTCAGCCTCAGAATGCCGAGCTTATAGGTGTGTGTCGCCAAGCCTGGCTTTGTTGTTGCTTTTGAGACAGGGATTCATTATGTAGCTCAGGCCAACCTTAAACTCACTATGTAGCCCAGGCTGCCCTTCAACTTGGAGCAATCCTCCTGCCTTAGCTCCTGAGTGCTGGGATCACAGGTGTGCATCTGAATGTTGTGGTTTTTTGTTTTTTGTTTTTTTTTGTCTTTTTGAGACAGGGTCTCGCTATGCAGTTCAGGCTGGCCTTGAGCTCACTTTGTAGCCCAGGCTGGCCTCGAACTCACAACGATC